TAATTACCTTGATGACTGAGCCAACCTGTGCACGCGCACACACACACATTCTACAAACACAGACGCACACGCAGGTGCGACTAGTCTCACGGGCTGACATAACACATCTTGCAGGTTTTGAAAGTCTCACACTCGTACACGGCTATCAAACACAAACATAAATGTGAGAAGTCTCACTCATATGCATATACACACACTCACACACACAGTCTGCAACACGGTTTTGCCCTGAAATGAAAGCTATATTAGGAACTCTTTTTTTTTTCTCTTCAGAGCTGCAAGATACAGATGGTTAAGTTTATTCTTAGTTCAGACCCATCATGCTTCCTTTTGATTCACTCTTTCGATCTGCCAGAAATAACTTCAGACCAACTTCCAGGATGGTCATATGTTTGTACAATATAGTTGCATTACATCCACACACATATATGAAAACATAATCGATCAAACGCGGACACTCACACTCGCTCACTTTGCTGCGCAGATGAGCGAAGCTCCCATGTCAGTATTGGACTGTAATGGCCCATGTCAGATTAGGGGGAAGGGTTTTTTTTTATGTCCTCCGTCAGACTCAATTAATACTCCATCAGGCATGAATTCATAGGCCACACTGGACCTTAGCCAGTTCATCCATGCGTGTGTTTTGAAACTAATAAATGTGTTTTCACATTCAGTTGATATTTGAGTATAGCACTATGTTACCTATTATAATAATGAGACTTTTTTGAAGTTCCTCCTCCAAATTAGAGAAAGTGCACATGCACACACAAAAGTGCTTTTGTCAGTCAGGTTGGAAAACATCAAGGAGGTTTTTCAGTGCAAAGGTAGAAGCTGGCAAAGAAGCAAGGAGAGAGTAGGAGACACTTCGCAGGTATAAGCAAAGAAGGCGGAGATGTGAAAAGCTTTTTAAGAAATCCATATTCACAAAAGAAAGATGTTCAAATGGTTACTGGGTAGCAGAGGGTGAGTGAGAGCGAAAAGGAAAAAGTGAGACGACAATGTGAAGTAGCAAGAGGAGCTGAGGCAGAATGTGTAGAGTGTGGAGTCATAGAATGTAATGACTAGAAGATGCCAAAATATGGGATTTGGCAAAAGAAAAGAAGCGAGGTTTGTCAATGAGGCTAAGGCAGTGGATGTGAGAAGACGCTGGAAAAGGGGGTTTGGGGAGTGCAGAGAAGTTATGGGTCAATAAAGCCCGCTGTGGGGAAGCAGAGAGGGACTCATAACGAGGTCAAGGACACATCATCGATCGCCACATCATAACGCTGACTGGCAAGGAGAAGAAAGGATTGAGGAGGAGATGGAGGAAGTGAACAGGAGTCACGGAGGACAGAGGGAGAGCTATGCTACAGCTGTGGAGAGGGGGTGACTGTAGAATTGGCCGAAGCGAAGAAGGGGGAGAAGCGGGAGAGAAGTAGAAAATAAAAAATAACAAGGATGAAGGAATGAAAGGGGGCAAGTCTGGCCAGAAACAAGGTTAGAGGGAAATTGAATTAGACGGAATCATGGCTGAACAGATCAGATCTGTAATAAAACACACACAGAGGAGCAACCCGCACCAGTTTTGCAATAAGCTGCTGTAAATCAAGGCGTGCTCTGTGTTGCGAGCTGGATTTCTACACTTACACAGTAATCCTACCCCCTCTCATGTAGCTGACATGTTACATTTAAGCCACAGAGCTAAGAATCTCATATTCAGAAGTACAGCTCTAAGAAAAAGTTTGTTAAGCCTTTGGAAAGACCACGATCTCTACATTGATTGCCCATAAAATGTTATCTGATCTTCATGTGACAATTATAGACAACCGCAGTCTGACTAGACTAGCAACACGCAAACAGCTGTGCTTTTCGTCTTTATTGAGCACACTAAGTAATTGCTCAATAACCACATGAAGAGGACATGAAGAGTTTGTGTGCTGAATCAGATCTTTCGACACAGCAGCCTCAGCTTTATACTTTATACTTACTGCTCAATTAGCAAAGGTTGCTCACACGCTAACTTTCTTAGCATAGTAGCTAATATAAAACATATTGACAGTGTTATTGTTACTTGTCATCTCAATATATCTCTGTTTACTGACAGCTTTGCCCACCTGAAACAAATTACCTAGTTGCACAAAAGTACGATTATTACCTCTTTTCTTAAGTTGTGTATTTCCTCACTCAGGTAGATGTAACGGCACATCCTTGATGTTATTGAATACAATCAAAATAGAAGTGATTTTTATTTTATTCTGGACATTTTTCAGATTGAAAAGGGAGAAATGTCAACTGTGCAATTATACTGGTTGAAATATCTTCTATTGTGTGAGATAGAGAGCGTTTTTCTCAGCTGGGCAAGAAAAGAAATTAGCGGATTCAGGAAAGAGCTTCTGAACAGCGGACTGTGTTTTTAAAGTTGCCCAGTCATTTATTAGGGGGCAAGTTTGTTTTGTCAAAGCCATACATGAGAATATCTTTCTTTCTTTTTCCTGTTTTATATCCCTTGAACACGGGAAGGATTGCATGCCCCTCTTGTGGCCTTGTGATCAGAAATTATTATAATTTTTCATCATTACTTTCATGAAATAAATCTGTGATCATGAAAACACATCCTGCCGTAATGTTGAGTTAATATTATTTTATGATCAGCAGTAGAAAAGTTTTGACAGCCTGTTAAGTGAATAGAGGATTTCTTTTTGTCAACACCTGTGATGTCGGAAAACACTTATTATTACAAGTTCCCACATTTTCTTGGCAGCCAAACTATTTCTTACTCATGTTCTCGCTGACTCTTTCCACCCAGCTTCTACTCATTTATCCACTGTTCCCTCTCTGAGCTGTTGCCCCCTGTTTGAATAAGTGGAAAAGAGGTTGAGCTGCTTCAACTAAGTGAGCGCTCTAAAAAATACATTGCTACGTCTGTGGAGAGTTAAAATGAAGCCACCGAGGTTGCAAGAACTACTGGTTTTCCATTAGATTCCAATGTCTCGGCTCTTTCCTCGCCCTTGCACGTGCCTTCCATCCCTGTTGTCTGAGTCACTTTTTCTCATCCCCATTTTATCTCAACGATGTTAAGAAGTGGCAGAAGAAACACGTGCTCCATTAATTTCCCGTTTCTCCTTAATTAATTTTGCTGTGTTCGCCTCTCATCTTGTCTTGTGCGTTCATTAGGTGAACTCGCTCAAATGTTTCTTTTCTTTCTGCGCGCGCTTGTGTGCCTGTTTGAAAGAAAAGGAAGATTTGGTACAGTCCGGACTTTTATTGCAGCCCTCCATCAGTTTTCCTCCCCGATTATCCTGAGGTGACTTTCTGAGCTGACGTTTTGTCCACCCTAATCTGCTTCCGTCCTCTGCTCAGTCACTTCCTCCCCATACGCTGCATGTTTCAAAGCAGATTTAGGTTGAAAGGGATGTAATTTTGTGACCAGATAAATGAGTATGAAAGGGGTTTGTGGGGGAAGGGGGGTTATATAGAAATGGGCTTCCTGGTGCAGAGTGATCCCTTCAGGCCAGACAGCATCGTTTAACTTTCACTGATAGCCTCTCAGCGTGAACTTATAACAATCTTTATCCTCTCTGTCTCGCCCCAAAGTGAAAACCGCTCCGCTAACTAGACTGGGGTGATTTGAGCGTTAAAACTGGAGCAGGTGCGATGCTTAGTTTGCATGAATGATGTAATTCACTCCTGAAACCACTTACACTGTAAAACTAGATTATTTGTTATTGATGGGAGATGGTTCGGTGGTTTGTGTTGCAAGGATGCTTGCAACCTATTTTTGAAAGTTGCAGTTCTTTTTTATTTTTTGCTATTCAGATATTAATAAATTTCTACATTATGATGAGTTGGCTTACTTCTAAACTAAGATAAAATGAAGGATAACGCTTGTCAGATCTTTTGATATCTCATATCTCTGGAACTGGAGCCCAAAGAGTATGAGGATGTAAATTGTTGTGGATCACAAATGTGTAGTTTTACATTCTTATTTTTTTTATTAACCCTTTAATGCCCAGTGTATTATATTAAAATGCATTTTTTAGACTTCTACATCATCTGTCAACCCTCCCCACTCCCCCGAAAAACCTAAATAAATCTCACAATACATTTTAAGCAATAAATAACAAAAATAGAGGTAAAAAAAATGCCAGGTGAAGCAAATGTGACATAAATTAAAACTCAGGCTTTAAGGGGTTAAATAAATGCAGTGGATTTTAGTAAGTAAGCTAGTGCGAATTCCACATACACAGCAGGATGATCTAGTAGAGACTGGCTTGAGCTGAATACGCTGCCTGTCATTCATTTTGAAGGAACATGTCACCCTTTGCGCCAGAGAGGCTGTATGAGCCTTTGGAGACACAGACAAGCCTTTTTAACTGGAAAGCACATGCACCACCGAGGCCTTTTTTGCAGTTTCAAAAGAGTTAACCACGCTCAGACTGAAATTTAATGGCCTCTTCCTTTGTGCATGTTCCACCATTCCAGCACATTTCCGAAAAATCTGACCTGCCAGTATTTGTATCTGAGAGACAGACAGGAAAACGGAAGGCCTTCACCCCGGCTTTTGCTTTAGTCAAAAGCATAAAATCTGTGCATGTCCGTTTTTTCTTGCTGTCAATGAGAAAGATGTAAAATGTCACCAGACTCATCATTTAACTGAATGTTGTTTGTGAGCTTGAACTTTATATTACCCAGCTGCTACTACTAGGCACCATTCCAGATTGAAAAGAAACTCTCTCTGGCCCGTCCAGAGGTTTGTAAACATCAACCATGTCCAGAAACCTTAATCTAAACTGGGATTAAAGGCCAACTGAAAACTTTGAGGGAGTGCCATGATTGGTTGATAACTATTACCCTGCATTGTAGCAGCTAAGCCCATAATCAAGGCGAACATCCTCCGATAATCCCAATATGTCTTTGCAGACCCCTGCCCAACAGCCTAATCCTCAGATTTAGAACCTCAGATTAGGAATACTGGATGATTAATCTCATATTGTGCGTGTGTTTCTGTCTGTTTTCTGCAGGGGACCCTTCGCCGGGTGACCTTCTCGGTAGTGAGCCAACCACAGGACGGTGGTTGCTATGACAGTGGCCTGGAAGACTCGGAGACTCCGAGTAGCAAGAGTTCATCAGGGCCTCGGTTGGGAGCCCTGCCGCTTCCAGAGGAAGGCTACGAGCGAACCACACCTGAGGGCAGCGTAGGGGAGGAGGAGCATGTGGAGAATGGTACACACATGGCGCATTAGAGCTCAAAAAGGCCGAGCGATGCATTTACTTGTATATGTTTTACTTTGCTTGGACATGTTGATAGACACTATCTATGTCTCTCATTTTCTCTTTCCCTATTTCTCTCTCGCACCCCCTCACCTCCTCTTTCTATGCCATAAAAACACACAACAACACTTTCATTAAAACCTCGGCTTGCTGTCAAGGCCTCGGGAATCTTTTCAGTCTTTCACATGATGGAAATCTGTTTTATACAAAAAAGCATTTGTTCTGTGTGTGTGTCTGTGTGTCTCTGTGTGTGCATGCACTTGTCCCACATATACAGAGTGTTTCTGAGTAATATGTGAAGGTTTTTTTTAATAAAAGCTAATGTGTGTTAGTATGTTATGCCAGAGAACCATCCCTGGCCTTGTCCAAGCATCTGCTTCACCAATGAAATTGTGTTTTCACCTTTTTGTGCAAAGTCTTTGTCAAGGATGGCAAGCGACAAAAAAAGTTATTCTTTTGATCTTTTCACTCGTCTTTCCTCTGTATATGGTCATGCCAGGGCTGCAGCAACATCGGCAACAAGCCAGGGTCACTGTGACCTTGGTGAATAACTAGTTCTGTGGCTATCAGTGAGTTTCCAGTTCAATGCTGCTTCTTGCCAGTGTGCGAAATTTTGTTGAGTTTAATAAGTTTTTGTCACGGTCAGATGGAGAGACGAATTGAACAGAGAATTCATTGTGTTGGCTTTAATTATACTGCACAAGTATGTTCTTGTTTGGTTTCGCATGAAGTTACTGCTGCCGCTCTACATATTCAGTAAAACTTTGCTGGCAGATTACAGCAGAGATATCTAATTTCTTGCGGTAAATTCAAGTGAAGCCAAAGTTAGAAGCTTTAACAGGAAATGAACACATTACAAGACATGACAAGACATGAAAAGACAAACGACTGGTTTTGCATACATAAGGCTACAATACATCAGCATTAAGTCTCTGGTAGTCTTGCTAAGCTTTGGAAAAAAGCACTGGAGGAATGTTACAAATACACATCCAATCAATTCCTTCCACATAAAGAAATTTAGTCTTGCCATTCAAATTCCTGATGATGAATTTCCTTTTCTTTTCAGTATTTTTTTCTTTTTCTTTTTTTTTTTGCTTTGACCTCACCTTTTACCTTTAATGTAATGCTGAACCGCACCTGATTTTTTTATGCATTCTTTGGATGTCAGCAGTTTTTCTTTTTGCTCCAGCAGCATTTTTCCTTTAATTCAACCCCCTCCTTTGCAACCTTTGTCTAAAACCATCTTTTTAAAGCTATTTTCTGTCTTCCTGTCTCATTGTTCAACTCTCCTTTCTCTCTGGTACTTTTTATTTCCTTGTCTCCTCATCATTTGGTGGTCTAGTGTGTGGCACCGTGAGTCAGTTCATTGTGACATTCCCCTTTCACTCTCTTTTCGCCAGTGTTTTCATTGTGATATATTACTTGTTAAATTAAGGCAGAGATGTCATTTAACTTCTTTTGTTTCTTTTTTCTGTATCCAGATGCTAGACAGCTGCCAGATGTAGCTTTGACAGGGAAGTGTACCAGGGAGTGTGATGAGTTTGGCCATTCTGACACTTGTTGGATGCCTGTCCGCTCTTCGGCACGGCCGCGTCAGCGCCACGGCAGCGACCCACCACGACTCTCTACCTTTGCCCCCGGAGATGACAACAATAATCTTCGCGGTAACGACCATGAGAGTGACAGTGAGAGTGCGGGAAGCGCGGGGAGCTCCGAACCCGGAGTGGTCGTCAGTGGAGAAGGTCAGAGATTACCTTTAGCCAATGGGGATCCGCTTGGCACCCTGGGTAGGGGAAACCACAACAGGAATATGGGTGATCACAACCGTAACCTTCTTAACCGCAAGATGACTTCTGCATCCTACGACACATTTAGCAGTGCTGGTTTTGGGAGACGCCAACAAGAGGAGGGAGGGGGAGAAGGCCAAAACCCACCTGAGGTCATACCACTGACGCGGACAGGAGGGGACTACAAGACCACATCCTGCCTGACCTTGTCACGCCGTGAGGTCTACCTGTGACATCCTTGCAGTCCTTACCACTACTTCCTTTTCCGTAACAAGAGGGAGGATTAAAACTTCACTGGCAAGTCATCAGCGTGAAAGGACTTGGAACCTGGGAAGATGTGAAACTGTCAGAAAAGATGTTTTCCAAAAATACTTTTTGATTCTGACTAATATTTATAGGCCCTTAAATGTAGGAAAAAAAATTGGATCAACTCCTAGGAGAACCCTGAACAGAAAGAACACTTTCTAAAGCATTTTTCTAAATACTGGTGAAAGTTACCTACAGGCAAAGCTCCTCTTATGACAATGTGGAGGAGGACAATCTTCTCTTCTTTTTACCTGAATCTGATGCATGCCTGACCCTATCCCACAGAGGGAACTGTATGAAGAAGAAAGAAGCGGAGACGGTGTAAATTCTGATGCTATAAATTCCTGAGTGCGTATAAAAACTGAGTCTACAGCAGACCAGATTTGGACTCAACTGGTGAGCCATCTGCTGAAAAACCACAGAGGTTTCATCCAGTCAAAACAGATTAAAAAAGAAGTGACGGGTCTTTGATTGAGTTATTTGAATCTAATTCAAACCAATCAATTTTTCTAATGTCTAATCAACTGTATCATAACACAAGAGGGGGATATTAACCAATCAAACTGCTCATGTCTTGAGGATTTTCTGTCATAAATAGAGCGTAAAGTACCACCCGAGTGTGATCACCGTAATGTTACACACTAGAAAAAAACGTCAGTTGTTTAAAACACATACGATTCAGAACAAACAGCAACAATGTGAAAACAGACTTTTCTTACAATCAAATGTAATTTTTCAGAATACAGTGTCCTCATAGTATGTCAGTAGTGCCACAGTATTCGGGCGTGTGTGAGAATATATGTTTATTATTTTACCTTTACACCCAGTCTGTATGTATATAGTGTATGTCAGTATTTGATAAAACAGCAGCGTTATCTCTCCGCTGCTGTCTTTCGTTGAGTAGACTGGGGTGCTTAGTTCATTGCACATCTACGGTATCCTAACGGTGTTCATGTATGATAAGTGCTCTCTCACGCACACGCGGACACATATGCACTCATACGCATGCAAGCGCTCATACACTGAGCATAGCATGTAAACACAAACATACAGTGCATTTACAGAATGTGGACGTGCATAAGGCCACCGTTTATGACACGAGTCAGTGGCTGTGTAACATAAAGTATGTAATAACCTGCATTAACTTTCATACAGAAAAAATTAAGAACAGGCAAACACAACACACACATACACACAGCATATTTAAACATAAGTCATATAAACGCAGTGCATAGTTCATGTGCACTATGTATGTATGTGCTTTTTTATCATAATTTTTTAACATTATCATTGAACTAGCTGTAGCATTTTGCCTGCTCCCCTCCATCCAGTATTTAAACATGAAATGTATTTAATAATTATTCATCTCTGACTGATGTGTGAGACTACATTAAAGGGAATTTCAGTGACATCTACTGTAAGTGACGATAGACAATGTGAAAACCGGAGCTATTCTGCTGTACGTAGGACTCATAGAAAAGACCAAACTTCTATAGCTTCTGTAAGAAAAAAAGGAAAGAAAAAAACTGCATGAAAGAAAGATTATGCTAACTTTTTTTTCCTCTCTTTTTTAAACCACATGCTTTTTTGAATACCACGCCTATTTGGATACATCTGTACTAAATGTGTGTGCTCGCGGGGAAATGGAGATAATGATTGCAGCAAGGGAGTTAGCTTCAGTGGATGAGATCGTTTCTTCTTTATCGTGGAGAGAGTTTGAAGTAACCTTGGGCCCTTTCGCTCACTTTGGCACAAAGGATGCCAGAGGCTATATATATATATATATATATATATTAAAAAAAGAACATAGTGAATTGGGAACGTAAGACTTGTGCTGCGACCCGTTTCACCGCGCAGTGCTGACCTGAACACGCCCATACTGCTGTGCTGAACTGCACAGATAACAGACTCCTTCACATTTTGTCCTTCCCATCAGCTACTGCACGACTTCGACACACTCTGCTGCACTGGGCTAAAGAGTGGGTGTGGATTGAGGCCAACACATCTTAATTCCCATCATCAGTGTGTGGCTCAGTGGTGTGATAGGGATAATAGGGTTAGGTCGTCCCTGTGGTCTTAATGAGTTTCTTTTCTCCTCTCTTCTCCTCCCTTGATCTGTTCTGATCTCATTAATGTCTGGATAGAGGAATGTAGCACTGCTGGAAAATTGCTAGTGTGTCTCTTAATTTTTCTGGTTGTTTTCGGAACATAAGAGTGAACTAAGACATTTTTTAAAAAAAAATGTGTAGTAAGGTTCAGCTTACTCACAGAGTCGCGGCTTGACTGTCACCTCACTGAAAGGTAACTGGACTGGAAATGAAGCAGGAATCATTGTGACACCTCCTTAGATTTTACAAGGATAAGAACAGCTCCGTGTGTGTGGATACACTTTGTATACCTGTATATATCTTTAACTTTCCAACTCTGTAAAAAACACTCTTTAGCTTCAGGTCCACTGATGTATTTACTCCCAAAGCCTTCATTACTCCCATATACCCCAATATGGCTGTTTACTGAGCTCTGTTTTTGATGGACTGTGCTGAGGATGTAACAAAATTCAAAGCCTAACATTTGGGATTTTTCGCTTCTTGGAGACTTCATGGGGATTGAAAACAATCATAATATCCTGCATGGTATGTTCTGAGAGACAAAAGGACACGTGCTCATTCTCTGGGAGAATGAGTTGAGATAAATGGTTTTCAGACCCTTAAAGGGCATCAAGAACCCGTGGAGAAACCAGTTTGTGAGTTTTGCAAAGAGACTCTTGAGACAGCCCTGCCTTTTAAAAGTGGCAAATATTTCTTCAAACTGCTGTTTTATGGCAGTTCCATGATGGCACCTTTCAAACACTTAAGAGTGGATTTAAGGGAACTTTATGTAAATGAATCTGTGTGGGTGTGTCTCTTTTTTTTATACTGCACGTTTAAACATGAAGATGTTTCAGTCTACTGCGAAAATGAAGAGGGGAGAGAGACAGAGAAAGGCATCATGTCTGAGATCTGCCACCTACTAATCAAGACACTTTTGAGAAGAGACACTTCAGTGGACGCCATGTACCTGTCATCCCCCTTGTGCTGTTACCCTAGCCATGTACAAATAAAGTACACTGTAGAACAGACAACTGGAAACCATAACAAACGATGGCATGCTTAAGGTTCAAATCTGCACTTGATAAAAAAAGGAAAAAAAAATGTTATTTTTGTTTTCCTCTTCTTTGTTTTCTTTACCTTTAGGAATTGGCTCTGTTTCTTTGCCAATTCCCCCCTGTAATTACATAATGAACTAATTGCATTTGCTATGATGTGGAAGAAGGAGAAGAGCTCTTGACGAATGGTTTGGTATGAAGATTAATCATGTAAAAGTTTGACTTTGACATTAAAAACTTCAGACATACCCATTGGCTGTTAGCACATTCACTCTGTTCTCAGATTATTTTGCACAGTAACAATGAGAGCAACAGCAGGTGTGACACTTGTAATGACACCAAGCAAAATAACTTGCAATATTTTTTTTTTTATCAAGAACTGAGCCAAATGTTGGCAAATTTATTCATCAATAAAGTCATTACTTACAGCGAATGGAAGCCTTACTTGAAAGTGGTACAAAACTGGAGACAAGGCCATCTTTATTCAAGGTCAGCTTGGTCCAAATTCTCAGTTTCATAACAGCAAGCTGCAGTTAAACACTTCAGAACAATTTTCTAAGCAGGCTGAAGTGTGGAGGTCATTCTCCCATTTACATCTTCCAAAGTCAAGAACGCCCAGTGAAGTTTAGCTTTTGTCTGCCTTCCTGTTGAACCAACAGCACCACTGTCACGCAATTATATGTCATTTTTGCAGCTGGCTGATATCTGAAAATTAGATTATCATAAAAAAATAAGTTTATCACTAAAAGGTGGAACAATCTATCAACTTTGAAATATTCTGCACTGGACCTTGTTACTAGAAAAGTTTAAAATGTAGAAGCAATTTGGATTTGGACTTATCTGAAAATGCTTCACAGGTGTTAACTGCTACAAAGATTAGCGTGAAGGACTTTAAAATGTCAAAACGAAAAAGAAAGGAAAAGAAAAATGAGAAATCTGTGTTTGGTTTGAGTATGCAACGCTGACACCAGATGGTCATGCGTGGTATGTCAGTTTCCTGGTAGAGCTTTTTCTCTGTGTCATAACCCCTTTAAACATGCAGAAGTGAAGTACAGTAATATTTTTAAGCAATTAAAGGCATTAACTTTACATTAAAAAACATGTCATTTTAATTCAAATGACTCTTTTCACTGAACCAAAAATATTTGCTAAAGATTTAGATGTAATAAAATATCAAAATATGATGTCCCTGAATCTTGGAAATGATCCTTTAAGAAAAGAAGGTTCTTCGAATTTATGTGATACACAATATATTTTACATGATAGCTACGATAACTATTTAAACATTACTTTATTGTTCTTGAAAGGAATTGATAATTTCGGAAAACAAGCACATTTTAATATTTGAGTACCCATTATCAGGGGCATCGCAGCAATTAAAAGTTGAATCCTGCACTCTGCTCTGTTTTCCATTGTCACAGAACAGCATGTTTTCTCCTGAACTTTGAGCTGGTTACAGCACTCAGAATTTAATGCGTTCCTGTTTCACAATTAGATTTTCAAACAATTCCAACTAATTACTAAATTACTTTTGCTGTTTGACAAAATTCAATTCAAATGCATCTTGTTTTATTTTTTCCTCGGGTGATGGCTTATAATAATCTCACATTTGATTTAAGGTTCAGTGAAAAAAATGTTAGTTGATGGACTCTAAAGTCATATAATTGTGTGTCCTTATTATCATCAATTAGAATAATCGCTTGTATTACTATGCAAGTGTGTCACCCATTCAATAAAAGGCTGTTTTCACCTGGAAAAACATTATGAAGTGCTGACCTCAGTTTTAAGTTTTCAGGAAATAGCCACCTAGATGTATTTGCATTCCACAGAGGACAAATTCTTATGTAGCTGGTAATAAAGTAATGAAAGCACACATTGATTAAATCATTTAAAAATATTAAAAACCTTCTTTGAAACATCAGAACCATCATATCAATCAACTTTTACTCATAATAATAAGCACTAGCCATAAAAGGTTTTGTAAATGATAATTGAATAAGAAATTGTCTGTCATCCAGAAAAAGTGTTAAAGTTAAACTCTTCATTAAATTCAAGGGATACATCTGATGGATGTTCATTTTATTGATTTTATAAAGATAGAAGAAAGTGTTGCGATTGCGCCTGGTGAACTAAATCCCAGCATGTTAACCTCCTCGCACACTGCCCAGTAGTATATCAAGTGGTCTTTGGAGTTGTCAGGTGTTTTCAAGAGCTTAAGCTCACTCTTCTTCTGAGTGACAGAAAGCTAGATTGAATTGCCTTTGAATTGGCTTTACATGCACAGAGAACCTTGGGCTCATTGCTTCAAAGTGAAAAGACATATTCGTGTAATATGTTGAAATTCGCCTGTCTTATTCGTTTGTGCTTTCCGATGAGAGGGGTTTATTTTCAGATCCTATCAGAAGGTGTAAGAGTAGAAGATGTAAAGAGTTCTGCAACTTATCCACACACACACACAACATTCAGGATTGGTAGAAGTGAAGATAAAGCATTAAGGATGCGATAAATTCTGTCAGTGCAATGTTCCTATGTTAAGGGGAGCCTTGCAGCAGAGCTGTAAACACTATTTCTCGCCAATATGCCAGACAGATGATGTGAGATTTGATCCTCCCCGTCTTCCTCGATAGGCTGTCATTTATGTCTTTTCATCTTTTCATGGTCACACCAGCCTCAGCTCATCAAAGCTGTGCCATCAGCATTCTTGGTAGGAACAAGGAAGCAGGAAATAACACATATACAGCACATTTTATATAAAAGCGCATCTTTTAGCATGATGGCATCTGCCTATACCTGCACGATAAAAGTTACTTTTCAGATGAAAAGTGGGTTATTCAAATGTTCCTAAATGTTTATGAAGCAGGATAAATATGCCAATTATATATTTCTATGAAATATGTAATATATTTGACAGTCCTCTGCTGTGCTTAGCTTTGCACTTGCTGTAATGTATGAAGACTGCATGGTATGTTTTAAGGCTAATTTGCACAGTATCAATGTCAGTTTGGTTTCTGCTGTCAAAGTAAATCCAAACAAGTGAGAATAGTCATTACTGTAAAATGCATTAACGGCTTCTTCATGTTTTAGATGAAGGGGTTTCCATGCCGATGGAAGGCTGCAAGAACGGTCTTGAACGAAAAATAAAAATATATGCAGAAAATGAAGCGATCACATTGCAGAGCCATGCCGTACCAAATGTGCGATGTCACAATGGTCACTATACCAGGACTTGTTATGATGAATAGGTTTCAGCAGGGAAGAAAAATACGCAATGCAGTATTTGTGGCAAAGCGGAACAGGTGGAACAGTTTTTCATAAAGATAAAAGAGAAACAGCTAAAACAGCATTTAAATTCATTGGTACATGTTGTTAAGGTTTTGCAGTTATACATCCTGAATGAACACATTTATATTCTGTCCATTCTTTTTAAAGGACTTTTAAATTAAGGATTCATTTATACACACGTTTAAAAGTGAACTTAGGATTTCCTCACTGCATACTGATGAAATCTAACAGAACCTTTCACAGCCTCTGCTCTGCTTTTATGTAACAATCATGTGATTTTCAGAGAACTCAATTTGACACTCACAGAGTAACGTGATTTCCATACTTGCAGGACCGCACTGCTTAGATTGGTGTAATGGTCTCAAGGCGAGACCACTTTTCAGTGTTTTTAATTTACCCCATGGGTCTCCTCAAATGTGTTTACTTTGTTTGTGCCATTTCCTCACAGATAAGTCTGAGCTCATAATCCGTAGGAAGTAATAAAAACCCTCTGTGTGTGCGTGGTTGTGTGTGTGTGTGTGTGTGTGTGTGTGTGTGTGTGTGTGTGTGTGTGTGTGTGTGTGTGTGTGTGTGTGTGTGTGTGTGTGTGTGTGTG